AGACGCAGCGCGGGTTCTACAGTGTTCCGTGAGGGAAGCTCATGGAAGGGGATGGAAGGTAGTGGAAATGGATGGAACCTGGTAGAATGTTCCAGGCGGATCTGTAAGGTTCTGTAACCTTCTGTACAGTTCCATACGCTTCTGTCAGGTTCCGTAGAGTTCTAGGAGGTTCCATGGGGTTCCAGAGGGTTCTCTGAGGATCCATGGAGTTGCACAGGGTTCCAGAGGGTTCTGTAGGCAATCTGCCGTGCGGTTCATGACAGCTCAAGGAAGAAGAGAACAATTGACAAGAAGCGCGTGGCAAGCAAGCGCCAGGGCCAGGGCAAGGGCGCACTGACATACAACATCAAGGCTCAAGGAGGACTTGCCAACAAGATTGCACCTGCCAATGTCAATGAGGGTGCAACTCTTCAGCGTAGGACGTGTGCGTGGTTGGTGAAACTCTGTGCAACAGTGGGCGGTGCAAAGCAGCTGCACAGTGCCACGCTGGATGCGCAGGAGATGCCTAGCTTTCTTGTTGGGCCCTTCTACCCATCAGTGGAGTAGGGCCCACATCTTTGCGCACTTTGAGCCTTTTGGCCAACATGCTCCTGCCACATTGCCGTATTGCTGCGTCTTGCATCCAATCTGCCATTGTCTTGCAAGCAAGTATTCTTTGCTGCAACAAGGGGGCCAGTTGCTGTGCGCGGCAGGCAGAGCTATGCATATCACAATAGCGCGCCATGTTCAGGTGCAGGGAATGGCAGCTGCATTCCGCCCCTTGGGTCAAGAGCGCACAGCAGGTGCAGCCTCACTGGGCATGCGCGCAACATCTTCCTTGTCCAATGTGAGTTGCAAGTACATGGCAGTCCTCTCACCTGCGCCTGCCAAGCATGCACTGTGCCGCGCCCACAGCCAGCCTGCAGTGGAGGCCCCATGGTGTTCTGGTCATAGTCAGCTGGTCCTGCTCATGCTGTTGTTCCCCTTGCACAGTGCTCTGCTGCCTGCTTCTGCAAAACCAAGTCCAACAGCACCGCTTCTGCGCCGCTCTCTGTACATCTCAATGCCATTCTTGGTGTAGCGCAAGATGGCCCAGCAGGAAATCTTGCTGCCAGGACTGTGCGCCTTGGTATAGTGCTGCACAACACATGCTCAGAAGAAGAGCATGTCAAAAGGCTGCAGCTGCAGCTCCACTCTGTACTTGGGAAAGCAGATCCACATAAGCCCATCAAAGTTCAGCCAAAAGGCCCAGTTGGTGTTGTGGTTGTCAATGTGCAGCATTGCAGAGAATTTCTGGATAATGGATGCAGAGTGATAGAGCAGGTGACACACAAACTTGGCAAGCAGTACTTGAGCCTTGATGTAGGCGTGGAGCTCATGCGCCTCCTGGCAGTAGTGCAACAAGACGTTGCTGTGCATCTTGAAGCAAGGCAGCAAGAGCTTGGCAACCCACTTGTCAATGTGCTTACAGATCCACATGGCCATAGTAAGTGTTGCTGCACATGCAGTGGTGCTCTTCTTGGCATGGCTCTGCAGCATTGTCATGGTTGGGCCAAGGTAGCTGTGGAGGCAAGTCAGCGCAACAGCAACAGCTGTGCAGGCCACAAGGCTCACTGCTCAGTGCAACCCACCCAGACACCAAACGTCCACATCAAGTCTCCCTTGTCATCTTTGATGGCAGCGCCAGTGCTGTTCAGTGAGGAGTGCTGGGCAAGCAGCACGCCAACGCTTGTAGGCTTGCGCAGCCTGCTTGACAAGCTGCTGCCTGCTGGTGATGGCGTGCCAGGAGTTGTCTGACACCCCTCACAGCGCTGCAAGACGCTGGACGTGAAGGAAAGGGTGCACATTGCATGCTGTATGCAGCGCTGCAGAAAGTTTGGGAAACAGAGAGGGCTAATTGCTCAGTCACAGTTGCCAGCATGCTGGAGGTTGTTGCTCAGCAGCTTGCCCTTGATTATGACGCTGTTGAAAACAGCAGGCGGCCAGGCAGCGCAAGCACAACCAAGAACAACATTTGAATTGTTGAGCAGAAGCTCAGCCAAGACAGCAAGAGGCACAGCATGTGCAGATAGACACAGTTGCAGATGCGCAGGCGCCTCTGCCTCTAACGCCTGCTTCTTGCCTGCAGCAACAGCGCTACACGTTGAGGCTGTGCTGCTGTTTATGCCAGGAGGGCCCCTCCTTTGCAGCGCAAGCAGTCCAGATGCTGCCAAGCGTGCCCAGGCACGTCCAAGGCTTCCTACCGTGTTCCCTATGCTACAGGTATCTTTTCTGTCTTGTTGGACAGTCTCTGATTGCGCCCTCATCTCCCCTGCTCCCATCCCTGCACCATGTGTATGTCTGCCACTCTTTGTGCTGTGCTAGACTGAGTAGACTGCCTCCTGCCCCCCTCCCAAAGCAGAAAATGCCTAGAGCTACGGCAGTGAAGGCTGCAAAGGCCACGCTGGCGGCCAAGACGGCTGCAAGGAAGCAAGAGAAGGGCACCTCCTTGCAGCAGCGCCAGCTTGGACTTGGAGGAGGCTGAGGAGCACGCTAAGGCCTTCTGCAAGCACATGAAGGAGATGACCAGCCTTGACAGCTTGTGGGCAATGTTGCACTGTTTCAAGCCAGAGGAGATGACAAAGAGGCTGAAAGCGCTGTACAACAAGGAGACACAGCATGCTGGAAACGAGAGCATTAAGTTGCCCTTAGCCACATGTTTGTATCTTGACTACTCAGTTGCACCACTGCATTGGAAGCACATCCACTCTAGCATTCCTGCAGACTAAGCATTGCAGCGCAAGGTCTGTGCCTTCATCAGCAAGTCAAATACAACTGCCAGAGCAAGCAAGCTCATATGTCTGCTTTACCACATTGCAAAGATCATCTGCCTGCACATGCCTGGGCCACATTCCAGCATGCTGGCAGCTGGAGCATACTCCAAGCAGCACAGCTGCCTGGCACTCTGCTAAAAGCGCATCAAGTGCAGTGGCGCGCTTTGCGCTGCAGTGATGATAAGTGGCTGTGCACATTTGTGCAGCAAGCGCGCTGCTCCAGGCTCTGCCAAAGTGTTGCAGTAGAGCACACTGACCACAGCAGTACTGCAACAAGCGCCAATTTTGCTGCTAAGCCCAGCCCAGGCCCAAGGTTCAGGTGCTTTGGGATAAAGCAAAAGAGTTTCTCTTTCTCCTTGTCAACTTTCAGTATGCAATGCTGTTCAAAATCCACAAGGCCTGCAATGCTATTGACTTCCAGCAATTTGATCTGCTTGTGTGCCAGGGCAAACACTAGCAGCTCTGCACAAGTCTGCATCTCAAGGTTGAACCTGACCTATGCAAGCTGGAGCTTGGTTTGCAGTTGCCTTCTACATCTGCGCAAGCGCAGAGACTCCAGAGAACAAGACTCTGCAGCAAATTTTGGTCAGGGCAGCAGATGAGGGTGAAGCTGTGGAGGCTTTGCCCAAGGATTCATGGGCCTTGTGAGGCAGCAGCAAGGATGCACAGATGTGCATCTGTAGCACAAGTCAAGTAGTCTTTGCCAGACCTGATTTTTCAGCCTGATAGTCCTCCAAGAGGCGCAAGCCATTGAGAACAGCATCAAACAGGCTCAGGGCTGCAAGGCCATCAACATTGCGCTCCTGCAGTTCATCAATTGCTACCACCCTTCAAAGGCCTAGCACCTGGATCAAGGCATCTACCCTGTGCAGCCTTGCAAGGGCTTTGCTGCCTCCTGCAGCCCAATGTCACTTTTGTATGGCACTCTCATCTTGGCAGCTTGACTTGCAGCAACACTGCTCAAAATGCACCCCATGAGCAGTGAGCCAGGCAAGGGTGGCAAGACAGAAGTGCCTGCAGCTTTGCAGTCCCTATGCAAGGATTGCACCTGACACACTAGCAGGCGCTGCTGGCGCCTGGACTAGTTGCGCAGGTGAGTGCAAGTATGGCTCACAGCGGCAAGAACAGCAGCAAGACAAGGAAGATGAGATGCAGCATGCAGAGAGGATAGGCAGAGCAACACAGGACTTTCATTGCACTACATTGCTACACCATGTGTCCCCCTGCCTGTGTTGCAAGGCGCTTGGCCTCTTTGACCTTCACAACAGTCAGCAGCAGGCCATAATTGGTGCCATTGGTGTGAAGGTTGTGCAGCTCAAGCTGCATGCAACCATTAGGTGTCACAGCAGGGATTGCGCGCAACCACAGCTTGCAATCTTTGCAGGCCAGGCCCATGCGCGCAAAGCTGCAATACTAGTGGTCCTGTATCAGCACATAACCAGAGTTGGATCAGCGCAACACGCCCTGCTCAGGCAGCACCTTGAGCTCAAAGTAGAAGCTGACACTGTCTGCGGCTGACGTTACAATCTTCCAGTATGCGCCATTGTTGGACAGCTCAAAGCAGCAGCGCTGAGGACCCGGCAAACAGCAGCAAGACCTACATCTCAATGTACAAGCATAGCCACTTCATGCATGCAAACATTGCCTTGGCAGCCAGAGTTGTTTTGTCAATGCTTGTGTGCGTCTTTTTGCCTTCCTCATTGACTGCCAGCTGCATGTCCTGTTGCAACTTTTGAGCCATGGTCATTGAGTAGATCCCAGGCTGGCCTGTTACTCCTGCTGGGTCTGGCAATCACAGGTGTCCAGCAAACTGAGACCTGCTGAATGCACTGAGCAGATGACAAGGAGGCAGCACAGGTTGTTGAGCAGCGCCAAGTACCAAGCCTTGTGCGCGCCAGTTGCATGCATTGCGTTCTCTGTGTAGAATCTCTAGGTAATCAGTGACAGCGCAGCATGCAGCCTTGGCCACAAGGGTCTTGTTGCTGCTGCTAACGGGCGCAAACACTGTTGCAAAGATGAAGATGGAGAGCAAAGATGAAGATGGAGAGAACAGGGTGCAGCCCAAACACCCACTCAACTTGCAAATTTGCTCAATTAGGTATGCAAGCGGTCCAGACAGGGTCTGCAACATTTGTGATCACCTCCAGGATGTAGATTGCCAGCGTTATTGGCACCCTGCCCACTGCACGCTCCTTGGATGCAGCTTATCCATATGTCCTGTGTGCGCTGCAGGTGGCGTGACTGCCACTTTGCTGCGTTGATCTCCTTGTCAAGGCAGAGGGCAGGGTGCCTGGCTACAGCATTGACAGAAGCACTGTGCCTGCCTTCTTTGCATTACACTACAACTGCTTCAGGAAAGCGCAGCTGCCCATGCGCAGCTGCCCATGGGCCCCACAAATGGTGGGTGCATAGCGCCACAGCTCTTGCGCAAAGCTGAAGGTTGCTTTGGGTCCCCACATGTGTAGCACTTGATGTTGCACTTTGTTTGTCATGGAGCAATGGCTGCTGTTGGTGCCCTGGTTGCTGGCATCAGCATCAACAACAGCTACAGCATGCCCAAGATCAACCGCAACAGCATTGATATCCACTTGGTTGCCAACCACGCCTGCTTCACCCCCAGCCTGGGCATGATGACGGCTTCAGGCGTTGCCAAGGCCTTGGCAAACATCAAGTGCAAGGCCACAATCATCATCAGCAACAGGAAGGAGGCAATGCAGCGCACAGACTACTACTGTCAGCTGCACAGCCAACAGCTGCTTGAGGGCACTTGTCTTCTGTGCATCAATGCCACCGGCTTGGCCCACAAGCGCTACATGGGGCTGCAGGACAGCGTGTCAAAGGTGAGTGTATAGCCACTGCTTCATCTCATTAAGCTCAGCCTTGTGCAGATCTGCTTCACAATGTTGCAGGTAGTTCTCTCTGGTGCAAGCATTGACAGTTGGGCGCGGCAAAGTGCCCAGCGCATGCTCTTGACACTGCATATTCAGCAGCGGTGCGGAGCGCAGTGGCGGCAGCGGCAAACCCTGCAGGGGTGGTGAGCGTCTCGGCCTGCACGCAGCAACACACGGCGTCACGCCCTCACCAAAGTCAGCAATACCAAGGAGCTCCCCAAGCGCCTCAACAAGGTTGGCGCGCATGCTGCGTGCAAGGTCCGTGTTTGTTGCAACAATGTTGGCGTGCTTTGGCGCCGCAGGGTTGTCAATGGTGTCAGAGCTGTCAAGAAACGCAAGAAGCTTGCGCAGCGCCAGGCTGGTGTTGCGCTGCAGGCAATGCAGGTCTGCGGCAACCGGCGTCATGCTGATGGCAGTGGTGGTAGTAGAGACGCAGGAGCAAGCAGCAAGATGAGGCAGCAGCAGGGCATGCCTCATCACTCTACTTTGATACGCCAAGATGAGGGGACAGCAAGGCAAGCTTGCGCCGCATGTGGCTCGCGCACCCTCAGGGGCCACGCCGCTTGAGCATGCACCTGTGCCTGCACAACATGCAGCAATGCATGCGCCAGGCCAGACACAATGCTAACGGCGGCGCCGTCAGCCTGCGCTGCGGACAAGTCAGCGCTCTACTAGACTCTGGCCAGCATGGGAAGAGAGAGGTGCATGGCGCCACGCCTCTCTCCAGGCTTCAGATGCTGTCGGCCTCCTGCCGCTGCCCCATGGGACAATGCCTCTGCAGCGGCGGCGGCGGACTGACAGTGTCTACATCAGTCTTGTATCTGGGAGGGGCCCTGCCGTGCCAGGCTGGCAAGAGGGAAAGTCAGCCATCAGCCAGAGCAGGGCTGCCTGCGCCCGCGGTGCACCAAAGGGTGCCCGCCGCCGCCGCCGCCTTGCGCTGCGGCGTGGCAAGCGCCAGCAGAGCAGGCAACAAGCGTCTCTACTGCATCACCCCGCCTCTCTGCAACAGTCTCTTCCTTGCTTCTGCTTGCTTGCCATTGCTTGTCTCTCTACTCTCTCACTTGCTCCAAGGCCTGCGTCCTCACCCCTGCTTGGCATGCAGGACGTTGTCTCTGCTGTGCGCGCGCGCAAGGCTGCGCTGCACTTTGGCCACGCGCACTCCTCCTACGCAGCGGGCAAGCGCTTGTGGCGCCAGCTGTGTGGCGCATCCGTCTCCTCCAGCAACTCAGACAAGATGGATGTCAACAACAGTGGGCTCCTGGGCAGCTGGGGCGCGGCGCGCAGCAGCCAGAGTGAGCCGCGCAGCAGCCAGGGCAAGGCGCGTGGCAGCATTGACAATGCGGCCCTGCCCGTCCGTGGCTATCAGGGCCAGAGAGACACCACCAACAAGTCTGACAAGGCTGACGTTCCCAACAAGGCTTTTGCTGTGCCAAGCAACAAGTCCAACAGTGGGAGCAGGGCGCGCCTGATGGAGCTTTGACCATCTGGCGCCCATTGCCAAGCAGGTGCGGCTTGCAGCCCTTGCTCCACGGCAAAGGCTCCAAGACAGCCGCTGTCATACAACAGGCCCAGGCTATGTTCAGCCCTGACCCTTTGCAGCGCCGCGCACGACTGGCCCCTGTGCCGTCTTCCCTGCTGCGCAAACCCCCAGGTGTGGCCAGTTGCGCTGCCAGACATCAAGCCAACGCCAGCAAGCAGGCGGCCATGGCCGCAGCGCCGGCTGCAGGAGCCTTGCCACCGCACATCCCTAAGGCGGCAGAGCGGCCTTGTGCAAGGGTCAAGGCAGTGGCAGCGCCAGCGGCTGCGGCACCCGGACAAGGTGCGCCTAGACAGGCTGGGTGAAGGTGCATGTCCAAGTGGTGTGCAACAAGCTGGGCAAGCCAACTACTGCCCAAGCCTGCTCTGCAACTGCTGAGCCTTCCTGGGGGCCCAAGATGCCGCTGTCTGAGGAGCGGAGTGAATGCCTCTCTCTGCAGGTCTACTCAGCCGGCATCATTGCCTCTGCATTGACATCTGGCAGCAATGTCTTGGCCTTGGCATCTGGCAAGCCCGCCAAGAAGCAGGCCGCGCCAACTGAGTCCGCAGCTGCGCACAAGAAGCTGTCAGCTGCTGCGCCTGCACCCGGCCAGGCAAATCTGAGCCGCTTCTTCAGCCCTGCCGCTGCTGCGCTGCCAACCCTGAAGAAGCGTGTGGGCTAAGCAACAACACTGGCAATTGATGTTCTGTCCCGTGTGCATTAGTCTAGCAACCTGCCAGATGGAGGCTTTGTGCCTGCCAGATGTAGTGTGCTGGCGCGCGTGCACCAAGACGGCTTGGTCTTTGCCAGGCGCGCCGCTGCTGCGCGCGCGCGTAGCGTGCACCAAGATGGCTTGGTCTCTGCCAGGCGCTGCGCGCGCACAGACCGTGTACTGCTCTCTCCAAGCAAGCAGCGCGTCTGTGCCTCATTTCCCCCCCCCCCTGGCCCCCTCCCCAACCTGCCTCTGCGCAGCCAAGATGAGAGGGGGTGCGCGGCATGTGACATGCCATTCTCCCGCTTGCCAGGCCACGCCGCGCGGGTGTTCTTCAAGCTTGCCGCCCCATACCAATGCCATACCTTGCAGATGGCGGGACCAGGATTGTAGGGGTACGGCCACCGCCGCAGGGAAGGCACAGGAGCAGTGTGCAGAGCTCTGTCTCAGCATGTATGACTCATCCTGAGTCATGACTGCTGCAGTGCCTGATGCAGTCTACTTTCATGCGTGTGGGGCAGTGGCCTAGCCTGCAGCAAGGGTCATGCAGGCAGCATGTGACCATGTGTATGCAGCTTGTGCATAAGGTTTGTTCAGTAGCTGAGGTCAGTGCTACAACAGGTAGGTATGCAGCACCAGTGCTCATTGTACAGCATGCTAAGCTGCCCTCCAGAAGAATGTTGACTGCACTGCGCAAGTCTGTGTGAAGCACTGTGGCTACTACAATGAAAAGAAGTGACCACCTGTGCAGCAACATCTCTCCTCTTCCTCACTGCCTTGCCTCACCATGTACCAGCTCTACATTGCGCACATCTGGGCCAAGGTTGGCAAGGTGTGGTCTGCTGGACCGCTGCTCAGGAAGACAGCGCAAGCTGGTGGCGCAAGAAGCTGGGCAGCTTTGAAGCTGTCTGTCCTCAGCTCAAGCCCTGCAGACGCGCTATTCTTGACGCGCTGTGCTGCAACGCCAAGGGCAAGAGGCCCAATGCTCAGCTGGAGAGAGATATCTTTCAGCAGTTACACAAGGCTCAACACAGACCAGGTGAGTTGCCATTGAGCAGACATTGTGGCAAGGGGCAAGACTAATGCTCCTCTTGTGAGCGGCGCAAGCAGGGCTGTATGCCATTGCCTACAAGGACACAAGGCCTGAAGGGCGCACCAAATGGTCAATTGCTTGCAGAATGAGCTGAGGCGCAAGGGCAGCAGAGGCAGCAACTGCGGCAGCAGCAGTGCACGGGAATTGCGGCAGCAGCAGCGCGCAGGAGATGAGGCACGCTGCCATGAACGTAAGGCAGCTGCGCGCTTGGCATCTCTCAGCAGCTGCAGCAGTCACAAGGCCAAGCAGAGAGTAGCAACACGTTAGAGAGGGGGTAAGACGGGAAGGCTGCCAAGCCGCTGCAAGTGCTTGTAGGCCTGCAGGATGATCGGGGCAAAGCTGCAGCTTTTGTGCACCAAGACATTGGGAGTGCAGCACCAGAGTCTGCAGGCAGCTTAAGGCAGCCAATCTCCTTGCCTGCAGGGTGCATGCTGTGTCATGACGCAGAGCACATGGTCATGTGCATTGTTGCTGACATTGGGGAGACCAAGTTCAGCTGGCTTGAGTGTTGCTGCCTGAATGAAAGGGTTGCAGGCTGCGCTCTGCTGGACTTTGATATATGTCCTTGCCATGCAAGCTCTATTGTCATGCTGCCAACCTGCTGGTGCAGCTGGAGCTACGCCAATGATGAGCAGGATCTGCTCTGCAGCACAGCCATGCAGCTGGAGCAGTAAGGCAGCAGCATGATTGACAGTGCTTTGCTGACAAAGGACACCAGGCAGCCAGATGTCTGCTGCACAGAAGATGTGTGCAAAGGTCTGGTGTTGGCTTCAGCCTTCTGATAGAGTTTGTCCTGGCATGCAGCACCTTGTGACCAGTGCATTGGTAATTGGCCAAGGTGTGTTGCTCTTTGTTCTAGTAGAAAATGAGGGCCACAGGGAAGAGTGTCATGTCATCTTCTGTTGGGCCATTGTACAGGCCAGCCTCTCCACCACCAGAAATAGGGCTGCAGCAGCAGAGTCAAGGAAGCAAATAGTGAGCAAGAGCAGGTTGCCAGATGATGCACACCACCTCAAAGTGGAGATGGTGAAGGTAGAACTGGCAGGGCTCACCCTCAGCACAGAAGGCCATCAGGAGTGACCAGCATGGGCAAGATCCTTCCATCATCCAAGCTCTTGTAGACAAGGAAGTCTTTCTTGTAGCAGTTGGCCAGTGCACACAGAGTGACATCTGTCACAGGTAGAACTCTTGTGTATCTCACTGATGAAGGCCTTGAGGCTGCTGAAGTCATGTCAAGCCTCTGTGAGCTCCATAATGCTGCTTTGTAGCCAGTTGCATGCTGCATCCTGCCAAATGGGATGGCCTGGTCAAAGTGGAGCCATGTGAATGCCCCAAAATAGTAAGAGCCAACACCTGCAAAGCACAAGTCTGGCAGCCTGCCAGCTAGGCAGTTTTGTACTCTGGCTACTTACTTGGAAAGGAATACAGGCCAGCAACTAGGCCATCTGCAGCTTGCAGCACTGTTGCCTCTACACTGTTCTTGAGGAAGGTGCTGGAAAGGCCTGCTGTACAAAGGGGGTCAATGTTGCAGTGTTCTGGCAGCCTTGAGAGTTTCTTCAGGACTGGCAGCACCTCTGACATGGTGCACTACAAGCGTGCCCCGAGAGAGCATGCAGAAGCTTGAAGGGAAGGACAGACCTTGGCATGCCATGCCCAGCTGTTCCTAACATGGATGCTCTCCACATCCATGGAGGCTCTGTACCAGTGCAGGAAGTGCATGTCATGTATCTTGGCACAAGGCATGCCAGTGTGCAGAAAGCAAGCGCAACAACCAGCATGTCTGCATCCCTGTGCACGCCAACCAGGCTGTCCAAGAATATTGTAAG